TATTTCCTGAAGTAGCGTTTTGTAGTTTTCTTTGTACAGGTCCTTTACTTCCTTAGTTAAGCTGATTCCTAGGTACTTGATTTTCTGGGGCACAATTGTGAATGGGATTGTTTTTTTCATGTTGCTTTCTTCTCTCTCACTGTTTGCGTATAGGAAAGCCATGGACTTTTGGGTATTGATTTTATAACCTGCAACTTTACTATACGAGTCTATTGTTTCTAGGAGTTTTTTGGTGGAAGTTATTGGGTTCTCTAAGTAGAGTATCATATCATCTGCGAATAGTGAGAGCTTGATTTCTTCCTTTCCTACCTGAATGCCCTTAATATCTTTTTCCTGCCTAATCGCTATTGCAAGTACTTCCAGTACTATATTGAACAGCAGTGGAGAGAGTGGGCATCCCTGTCTCGTCCCTGATCTTAGAGGGAAGGCTCTCAGTTTTTCCCCATTGAGGATGATGCTTGCTGTAGGCTTGTGGTAGATGGCTTTGATTATGTTGAGGAAGGTCCCCTCTATACCCATTTTGGCTAGGGTTTTCATCATAAAGGGGTGCTGGATCTTATCAAATGCTTTCTCTGCATCTATTGATATGATCATATGCTTTTTATCTTTTCTTTTGTTGATATGGTGGATTATGTTGATTGATTTCCGAATGTTAAACCATCCTTGCATCCCTGGGATGAATCCTACTTGGTCATGGTGTATGATCTTTTTAATGAGTAGTTGGATTCTATTTGCTAGTAGTTTGTTGAGGATCTTTGCATCTGTGTTCATCAGGGATATCGGCCTGTAATTCTCTTTCTTTGTGGTATCTCTGTCTGCTTTTGGTATCAGTGTGATATTTGCTTCGTAGAAACTGTTTGGAAGTGTTTTTGATATTTCAATTTCGTGGAAAAGCTTAAAGAGCATTGGGAGTAAGTCCTCTTTAAAGATTTGGAAGAATTCACTAGTGAATCCATCCGGGCCAGGACTTTTGTGCTTGGGGAGACTTTTTATTACCATTTCAATTTCCTTGATGGTGATAGGTCTGTTCAGGTATGATAACAGAACTTCTTCTTCAGCTTTTTGTTTGGTTTTGTTTACTCTTCTTCAAGCTTAGGTTCCTGCGCTACAGAATTGAAGCAGTAATCACAATTCTTTGGGTTATTTAGGGATAATATGAAATAATATCCGCAAGGCATTTTTTAGCACAGTACCTGGCACATGATAACCATTCATTAAATGGTAATCATTATTAATATTATAACTTACTGTTAAAAATAAATCAGTACTCTTTGTATCCCAGAGAGAAAAGACTAGCCGTGGTATAAATGAATGACTCATAAAGATGTTTCTAAGAGAGAAAATTACTTTTTAAAGAAGAGAAAAACAGGAGCAAAAACTTTTGAAGTGGCTAAGATATTTTTTGATAAATTTAGTAATTGTCTTTTACAGAATCATCTTCTAAAATATCTTCCCCCTCCCCACCATGGATTGCAAATATCCCAAGAAATCTGCTTTACCAGAGATAAGATATTTACAGATACATTTAGATAAGTCATAAGATTTGTTTTTTAATGATAATTGGCATTTTATGGACTTAATTATTTTAAGTTTAGTAACTGAATTTGACCACATGTACATGCGATCTTAAGCAAATACTCCCAGTTTCCTCTTTGCCTTTGATTCTGAGTAACAACAGCTGATTATTTAATTATATGTGTTCCTATATTTTAATTGTTAGCTGTGGTAAGAAAACAAGATGCTTACTGTTCTGACAGTAACATGTAGCAAGAGTAGACTCATACCCAGTATTATTTATAGGGTCAGGAGCAAGGATACCCTAAAAAGTAGGGCGAGTACAGAATGTGCCACTTGAAGACTCTAAATATGTTGATTGACTTCTGTACTGTATTTTCACTATGACAACTACAAAAAAAAAAATAGTAATGATTATAAAATCCTGTCCAGACCAGTTTCTGACGCATTCACTAGTTGCCAAAACCTCTTGATTACATTCAACAACTCCCTGACACACCTAAAACATTTGGAGACAGATTAAGTTTTTTGGTTGGGGGGTGTAGGGTTGCCTGTGATGCTGGAGGCCACCATGACTCTATTCAATGTGCTCCAGAGGCCACTCAGCGCTTAATGGGGATGCCCTCCAGCCCTTTGACTTACCTACCGTGCCCAGGAGCAAATTTAGTTATCATTATATGCACTCCTGTTTAATAGCTGAGGTATAAAATATGCAAAGTTGGAATTTGTTTGAGATGGACAAAAGAAAGGGAGAGAGGGAATGAAAGGGAATGGAAAGTAAATCTTGAGAGTATTTTAGCTGTTGTACTCCTTGACAAGAAGGCCATAAGTTATGCAAGATTATTTAACATTATCTGTTTCAGAGGTCCCCAAACTTATTTACTCTTATCATCCCCTTATATTAGAAAAAAATACCAGTCCATGTGCCGCCAGAAAATTCCTTCTTTTTATTTTTATTTTTTTTTATTGTTTTGGGTCATGCCTTGGGTGTTTAGGGCTTCCACATGGCTCTGAACGCTCAGGAATCACTCTTGGCCAGGCACCAGGGATTTTATCGGTTGCCCAGGATCAAACTGGGATTGGCCACATGCAAAGCAGCTGCCCTAACTGCTTTTCTATCTCTCCAGCCCTGAAAATTACCATTTTTAAGTGAACAAACAGAAAGGTTACTATGCTCTGGATTACCCCAACACTTTAAGACTCGGATCACCCAGTTTGGGAATAACAAGTATAGTCAGTGGCGGGCTGGGTGAGGGGAGAAGAGTAAATCTGTGAAAACAGGAGACATAGTTGTGATTTTAAGCAAGATGTTAATGAAAGTGTTTTATGTTTAATATTTTATCAGAACTTTATATCTGATGAATGATATAAATGTTTCATCAAATAACTTTTAAAAATTGCACAGATATGGGGCCAGAGTGGTAGTACAGTGGGTAGGGCATTTGCCCTGCACGTGGCTGACCCGGGTTCGATCCCCGGCATCGCATATGGTCCCCCGAGCACCACCAGGAATAGTTCCTGAGTACAGACCCAGGAGAAATGCCTGAGCATTGCTGGGTGTGACCCAAAAAGCCAAAGAAAATTTGCACAGATATGTTGGTAAAAGTTTAAAAGAAGCACGTCTATCTCGTTGAGTGGTGTCAGGAAATGTCATTACATTTGTGATACCATGATTATTGGCAATGCCACCAACATAGCAAGATAGAAAAGTAAACCATCAGCCAATGCCTCTGTTAGCAAGACACGCATAATACAAAGACCATATCCTCATAGCCAAAGCAAATGGGTAGCACAAAAAGACTAGACAAGTCCACAAGTAATAGCAAAGGACATCATATATGAGACTGGTGGTTTAACTCAGTTTCACTGTGTGCAAAACAGACAATATCCCATCTTTAAAGTCTCTCCTGCCCTGCCTAGATCTTCTAAAGCCAGCTTGGATGTGTGATGCTCAATCTCAATGCTAGTATCTTTGAGTGTCCACTGAATATTTATGGGAATTTAAGAGAACCTCCTGAGTACTCTAAGTGACTTCATAATTGATCCCTAAACAGAGAGCCAGGAGTAAGCCCTGAATACCACCAATTGTGACCATAAAAAATCAAAATAAAATCCTGAAAAATTCACCACAAATGCTACCCTAGAAAAGAAAAGCTTTGGGGGCAGAAATTTTCAAGAATCGATGGACACCTTTGGGACAGTGAGTCTAATGAGGATTATATTTCATTTGAAAATAGAATTTTTATTGATTAAAAACATTTGAAATCAGAACATTTGAAAATATAAAATGGTGCTCTGGTGCAATGCATTGGTGTGATTTTATGGTGAGCATGTGATGCTTTTTAAAAAAGTATTAAAACAGCTTTGAATTTATGTTTTCTGTTTAGAAGTTGATGGATTTTGAGTCACAAGTTTTCTTCTTGCAACACTCCACTGGCCTTTCGGAATCAACCACTTTATTTCCAGCACTAATTTTTTAACCTTTATGTATTTTGGATATAGTGATGACACCACAAAAGATTCAGACATGTTATTTATCTCTGTCTTAGGCGCAGGGAGTTTTTTTCTTGATAGGTTACAGCTCAATATTGCTCCAAATTTTCCAATTACCTATATTTTTTCATACAGACTTTGATACAGTAGTTATATATTTGAGAAAATGCAAAATGATGCATAAAAAAGCCAGCACGTTTAACTTATTTATACATTTATTCAAGTGTTATTTATTGAATACCTTCCATGTGTCACACACTGAGAAAAACTGATTCTGTCTTAGTAGAAATTAATCTTGTGCATTGGATTAACAATAATTTAGCAAGAAGCATGATAAATAAGCAAAATATAAACTACCTGGGAAGGATATTTTCAAAGGATAGCTCCTCCACTTACCAGTAGGGTGGTAAGTGAAGGAGAGAAGAAACGGTCTGACATTAAATAGTGTGGTTAAGTGGAGGCTACTTTTAAATAATGGCTTGAGAGCAGTTGAAAAAGAATCTCAAGGATAAAAGTAATTATAGGTTTGAAATTTTATTAATTTGTTTTTTATCTGTCTTTTACTTCCCAGCAAGGGGATACAAGGCATGTCAAAGTGAACTCTTTCTTATCTTTCTTTTCTCTTTGTAACTTCAATGAGAAGCGATAATTATATTCAATTTTTTCCTTTCTACTTAGCTAACATTAATAAATGTATTTCATGGAATTTCTGTCCCTCAGAGGTAATAATAAGATTTACTTTGGGAATTTACTCTGGAAAGACTGAAGCAACTCAGTCTAAGTATGTTGCATAATTTTGTGCCCTCATCGTTTCCTAGAAATATAAAAAACATACATTGTTATTTCTAGAATGATGTGGCTGTACCAGTTTTGTGGAACAAATCAAATTATTTTTCTTTGTAAGAAGTTAGTAAGATTCAGTTAGAAAATTCTATTTTCTCAATATTCTTTATTTTAGCATGATTGAACAATAAAATTTGTGTTTCTTATAGGTTGTGTTTCTGGCAACTGCATATGCAAGTCCCCAACTCACAAATGGAAGCTGCTCCGTGATGGCTGCAGTGACACATTACCTGTACCTTTGCCAGTTCAGCTGGATGCTTATTCAGGTTGGTGCTGCATCCTCCCTTGCTTCATGCTTTCCATTGGATATAGGGGGCAGTGATCTTCATATCTGATACTTTGGGTACTGGAATATGAATAATTCTATGTATCAGTCACTATAATTCTAGGAGAACTATGCAGGGAAAAGCTTATAGCCTGCAAACCGTTAGGAAGTCTAGTGTGTTTGAGGAAAAGGCCAACAATCTAGCATGGTTGGAAATAAGAGTGGTAGTAACTCATGACGTGAACTCTGAAAGGGACAATAAGAAACTTGAACTTTCCCCTCCTAGAGGAAGTCATAAAATTATTTTAAGAAAGGGAGTGACCTGCTAAGATTTTGATTTTTATAAAGATTTCCCTATTTGTAGTCATTTGAGGACAGGAAAAAGTTGATAGGTGAACCAATTAAATAGCTTTAGCTGCATCCCAGGAAGAAAACATGGTGATGTGAACTGAGGAGATAGCAGTAAAAGCAGAAGGAAGTGGGGGAACTTTTGAGTTGTTTAAAAACTTTTTATAAGTTTTTATAAATAAAATTTATGAATAACATGGGTTGGACAGGTAATTCAGAGGTTAAAGTACTTGCCTTGGGGCTGGAGTGACAGCACAGCAGGTGGGGCATTTGCCTTGCAAGCAGCCGACCCAGTTTCAGTTCCCAGCATCCCATATGGTCCCTCAAGCACTGCCAGGAGTAATTCCTGAGCGCAGAGCCAGGAGTAACCCTTAAGCATCGCCGGGTTTGACCCAAAAGGAAAAAAAAAGTGCTTACCTTCCTTGTAGTCCCCAGCAACACATATGGTGATCCCTGAACATAGAGCCAGAGGTAATATCTGAGCACTTTTGGATGTGACTCCAAACCATAAACAGACCAAAAGCAAACAAGTAAATTATGAATAATGCAAAAGAAACTTTAGCACAGCGGTAGGGCGTTTGCCTTACAAGCCAACCCAAGTTCAATTCCTCCGCCCCTCTCGGAGAGCCTGGCAAGCTACCCATGATGTATTCGATATGCCAAACACAGTACAACAAGTCTCATGATGGAGACATTACTGGGCCTGCTTGAGCAAATTGATGAACAACAGGAGGACCGTGACCATGATCTTTTGAAACTTAAATCTTTCCTAGATTTAAGAATCTTTCCTAAGAGTCTTTCAAGAATCTTTCCTAAGGTTTTGGCATAAGTATCTGGGTGAGTGGTGGTGTCTTAAATAACAGTGACTTGAAAACCCTCATATTTGGGACTTTGTGACTGAGAACTTTGGGTTCAATGGAAGGGGCATGGGGATCCTCTGCCTGAATCCTCCTGTTTCCAGCAGCTCAGCAGTCACACCAATAAGCCACTTCTGGCTGGCACAAGATAATCTCGTCATCGGCCTTCTCTCCCAGAAAAGAACATAGCATGATACTCACCATAACCATGCCTGCCACCATACCCCGCGCCAGGCTGTTTCATTTGGGGTACCCTGGAGGGGGTCGAGTGAGACCCCTCAGTGCCCCAAGGGACTTAGCCCTGGTAGCCGAAAACCACCAGATCTCAGCCACCATGCTCAGAGCTGCTCAGCCTCACCCACGAGCGAACCTATTCCTGGATCACTCAACTGCATTTGTGACCTCAGACATTTCCAAAGAGTACCGCACCACATTTGATGGGGTTCAAAGTAGTTGGCAAACAATCTTAGAGAGAATTTTTTTACAGATAAAGGTAAAGGTAAAGGTAAAAGCCCTCCCGTTGATAGTTGATTTGCTCGAGCGGGCCCAGTAACGTCTCCATTGGAGACTTTGTTGTTACTGTGTCTGGCATATCAAATACTCTCGGTAGCTTGCCGGGCTCTCCGAGAGGGGCGGAGGAATCGAACTCGGGTCGGCCATGTTGGCCGCTTGTAAGGCGAACTCCCTACCCGCTGTGCTATCGCTCCAGCCCCAGATATATATATATATATATATATATATATATATATACACATTTATATATATATTTTTTAAGCACACAAGGCTCAACCTTTAATAACATGTTAGTGATCTCTTATAGCAGGGCTTAATGGACCCTGGGTGAAATACAACAATCTTCACTCTCTTTCCTCTAAGGAAACTTTTTTGGTAGCATTTTCAGTGGTTTTTCATAACAAAAATAAAAAAAATATATTATTTTGGTTCAGCGCTGGGGCGGGGGTTGAGGTTCGGGATGAAAACATCCAAAAAACGGTGGTGGGAAGATGTAATGGTGATGGGATTGGTGTTTGAATATTAAGTGTAGCCAAATATTGTGAATTAATTTATAAAATAAAAAATAAAAAAGATGACTGGAAATTGGGGCAAAGATGATATATTTTGAGAGGGGCTGAGCATGAGATACTTGCTGTGGGAGTGTGAAGAGAAGTGGGATGCATAGAACTGAAGGACTCCTTATTCTGTTACAAAATGCTTTGGGAAAGTATTGGCTTAGAATTGGAGTGTGGAGGCATTGCTTTGGGAGAGATCACCTACAGAAAAAGAAGCGAGATCTGAGGTGTCTTATCATAGTCTTCTGAGGAACTAGAAATTTGAGGAAGAAATTTAAGCTCTTTTGACTAATATCCCAATGTCTCTTTATTATATGCTCATTTTCTTGTTAAAGATTCCCATGAAGGAATTGGAACTACTTCAGTAGTACTAATGTCACAAATTAAATAGCTTGACTAAAATGATTCTGTAGATAATACTTTCTCCACAATCATATTGTTATGACTCTTGTGTGATGAAAATAGTTTTTTAGTTTGCATGGGAAGTGTTTTACATCAAGAGCTATATTCTGGCACTTGCATTTTCTTTTGAATTGAAGATGTATTTCCACTGTGTAATAAAGATTGAAAGAGAGAAATGACACTGAGAATACTGCACAGACTCATAAAGCAGTTATTTTTTCCGAGGTGCTGTAATGTTAGTAAACTTCAGTAAGAGACGAAGGAGAGGAGAGTTGAATTATTCAGTTAATCTAAATAGTTGGAACAATTAAACGCACGATTCTGACTGAATTCTGCCATGGCCACTATAGAGTCTTTCAAACTTTAATCTTTCTTTAACTTTTATCAGTTATTGGCTCTCCCAAATTTTCATTCTAAATTGTGATCTCGAGATAATAATTCCTACTTCTTAGAATTATTATGTAATAACTCTTGATAACTGATTATGTGAAATTTCTGGTACTTGAGGGGTCAAACACATAGTACAGGGATTAAGGTGTTTGCCTTGCACATTGCCAACACAGTTTTGACCCCCAGCAGTACCAGGACCTATGAGCACTATTAGAAGGAATAAGCCTTGATCACTGCCCCATGTGGCCCAGAAACCAAAAAGAAAAGAAAATATTATGATATTCTCCAACAATTAAGCAACAGTATCTCTAAGCCACAAACAATTAAAAATTGATTTTGAAATTAATTTTTATTAAATTAAAATTTTAAAATTGAAATATCAGGTGTTAATCTTGTTTCAAAATTCTTGAGGAATTAGCTAAGCTGAACTTTTCATTTATGGTTTGTGTATGCTCACATTATTTTCCTGAATTTGTGTCCCCCACTGGAGTGCTTGACGAACTTATCTATGCCCTTGACCTATTCCGTTTTAATGAAGGACTTGGATAAAAACACAGGAAACAGGCATACTAAATAGATAGATAATATAAAGCTAGAAGGATAGCTAAAACAGCAAACTGCTTTAATTAAGAGCACAGGTAGAATCAATACAGAGAAACTATAGAGTAGACTGAAACTTAAAGTGAAAAAGATATACTCTGATGGGGGTTAAATAAAAATGTTAATTTAACACTAAAATGATTAGGAATACAATATTTCCAGGCTGTCTAGAGCATACCAACTACAGTAAGTACAAAACAACACAGGACAGAAAGTACCGGGGAAGAGGAACTAATCTTGCTTGCACCTACCTGGGTTCGACCTCCAGTATTTTCTGTCATCCCTTCAGCACCTCCTGGAGTGATCCCTGAGCACAGAGCCAGGAGTTAAGCACTGAGTATTGCTGATGTACTCCCAAAACAAAGTAAAAGCAAATACAAAAACCAGATCTAGACTGAATTAATAAGGAAAAGAAGGCAACGGAGAGAGTTATTGTTACATTGTGATGTACAATGAGCAGTCTAGGGTCCCTGTAACCACTTTCATGCGTCAGACTACAGTAGGAACCATTAACTAACCGGGGAGAACCCAGACATCAGCCCTGTAACAAACATTGAAGTAGCTGCAGTTACCTAGTCTGGAAATAATTTAGGGATATATGATGGCTATCTGTAAATGCTGATGAGTCCTCCTATGGGAAGGAGTGGGCTATCTATATATAGCTTAATTTTGAAAAAACCAGAATAAATTGGTCAAAAATTAGGGAAGCACATTTTGATTACCATTAAGACTTTCATAAGTAAAAGTAAGTAAAGGCCCTCCCGTTGATCATCAATTTGCTCGAGCGGGCCCAGTAACGTCTCCATTGGAGACTTTGCTGTTACTGTGTCTGGCATATCGAATACTCTCGGTAGCTTGCCGGGCTCTCCGAGAGGGGCGGAGGAATCGAACTCGGGTCGGCCATGTTGGCCGCTTGTAAGGCAAACGCCCTACCCGCTGTGCTATCGCTCCAGCCCAAGACTTTCATAGTCAATAATATATTGTCAAAGTTGAAGAGGCAGTTTCTAAAAATAGATATTCTTTAGTTACAGGAATATATTCATATGGGGAAATGACCAAATGTCAAACCTGTCTTAGGCATTTTTTGTGCTTGAAAGTATTTCACACAGCTTAATAGAGATTGGTGTATTCCTGTGTCTTTTTCATGCGTTAAGGAAATACGGGAGTGGCTGATATACATTCAGTAAACTAGATTTCTGTATGGCAAATGGTTTAGAAAAACTATTTAAATTACAATAAGCTTAATGCATTTCAGGTGGTGCACCACACATTTTTCATGGTTGTGATGTGACCACAAGGGAAAATTTCAATAACGCTGGAAATCTAGGTAGAGT